TGGGGGAATTACCTGTCTGTAACGGTCTGTGATGGGGGAATTACCTGTCTGTAACGGTCTGTGATGGGGGAATAACCTGTCTGTAACGGTCTGTGACGGAGAAATTACCTGTCTGTAACGGTCTGTGACGGGGAAATTACCTGCCTGTAACGGTCTGTGACGGGGAAATTACCTGTCTGTAACGGTCTGTGGGGGGGAGGGGTCCAAATTTCTACCCCTAAACGCTTCAACACTCCTTTCAGATCGTGTTTCACAAAATAAATAAATAAAAAAAGACAAACCTCGTAGTTTTCGTGGAATGGGTTCATTACATATATATATATACTCATCCCTTGGATGTGTTCCTTCTTTAGGCACAGTAAAATTAATCAAATCTGATAAATATTTCGATTCTCCATCTTCATGCATAAACATAGAAATATCTTATTACAATGAGAAAAAGAACCCGATTGACTTACTCTTAAGTTTTGCTATAATTTGAAGAGTATGTTCCTCATCATGTTTAAAATCATGTATACAGACTTGCATTTCTTCAGCTATTGATGATTGCTTTATCTATACGATATATATATATATATTTCAATGTTTTTTTTTATAATTGAACCAGTAGCATCTTTTGAGGACACTCAAAAAAATTTCATGTCGAAGAAAGAATCCGAAATGAAACTTGTTTATGTACGTTTTTACTAAATGTATACTGGAAAGTACTCTATTTTTCTGATGCTTATAGTAGATATTTATAGAAAAAAGAAAATTATATGCTTTCACTTATAACTCACTGAATAGAAGCCATAGCAGAATTCTAAAGCATCTATTATTGAACAGTATAATATGTAAAATATTCTAATATTACAATGGATTTAAGCAGACAAAAGATAGAAAGAATATTTTGTTTAGAAAACTTCGGTTCATTCCTTATATATAAACTTATTCACATAAATAACTATATATTTTTATGTTTGTGAACATAACTATAAAGCCATTCTAACTGTATCTTATTTCATGTGTTGTGAAAATTATTATGTTGAACAATAGATTATATTTTATTTCAAGTGTGAGAGAGTAAAAACAAAAGAGTAACATATCCAAAAGATTTCTAGCTATGAATATAAGACGATTAACTGAGAAATAATTTTCGTTCATGTTGAATAAAATTCATCCGTGAAAGCAAATCTGAATCAAATATGATTGGTTGTATGCGTGGCAGCTGATATACTTATCTATTGGTCGACCCTATATTATATAGATTCTGTTTCAGTTCGAAAAGAAAAAATTCATGTAATAGTAAATAGAAATATTCTCGCCAAACAAAACTATTTATAAAACAAATTTACATATTGAATTTCTTTTCCATCTAAATGGATAACATATTTATGAGCATAATCATCACCAATATGATACCATTTAATGTTGACATTAAATATTGAAGGATCTTCAGTGCAATTAAAATGTATAATGGGATTTAAAGTTAAAGTTTTGCCAATAAATAAAAAAGACTAAAAGTAAACATATGCATTTGATTTATTTGGAAACTAAATGAGACATACACATAATTCAGATTGTTTTTTCGTTGATTTCCAATTGTCATTCGAAGGTATTGCTTCAACTCTAACCTTTATTTGATTATTTTCATTTGTTACATCGAAACCTGCTGCTGATATACATTGATAAGAACTGGGAAATTCAGCTCGACAACAGTTATTAACAATCAGCTATTGTCAAAGTAAAAATGTATAGTAATTATATAACATTAATGTTTTGTTTTTTTAGCTACGAGATGTTTACCAAGAATTTTGAAATGAGTAGTCGAGCTGTTTCAGGTTCAATGTTAATAGTTGCATAAAATTTATTATTTGGAAATTCTGCAGCTTCACCATGAAAATTAATACGAAAATCTTTCCATTGTCTTTCTTCTTTCTATACTTACACAAAGATTACTTAAGAAAGTTATTATTAGTATCTTACAATTTCATCCATTTCTGGATTAGGTACACTGTAAACAAAGGAAATAACAAAGGTTTACAATCAATAGATTAGTAAAAGAAAATAGTTCTCACCAAAGTTTTTCTTCCAGTTCTCTATTACTCATTATCAATTCCTTGATGCAGTCAAAGCCTATTCAAAAACTAGGTGAAAATTAATAAAAAAGCTTCCGAAAATTTCATTGGAATAAGAGTAGGAGTCAAGCGAGTAAAATCACGTCATTTTTACTGCCTTGCTTTTGTCTTAAGTAAATGCATTATTTGCGTACAAAAGTTCTGTGTTCTAACCAAGATTGAAAAGACACTTTTCTATACAAATACCCCCAGATTGAACAATCGGTAGACTAGGTTTTATAATAGATTCGAAAAATCAATACTTTTCCTCAAATAAGGAGAAGAAAAAAATATAAAAAAAATTCAAATAATTGATTTCATGATTTTAAAACAAACCTTGAAGTAGACACTTTTTTAGGAACGTAAACGACGATTTCTTATGTTATTTAATCAAATGAAAGAATTCGATTTTGTTTCTCCCTAGTAGTAAATTTATTAATCTCAAGAACGGAGAAAAAAACTCTCGTTGGCGTTAATTGTTTTGTTCTCGTCTACTTAGTAACAATGACTGAATTCTACTTCATATGCAAATAAACTTCAACAAAGTGAAATCGTTAGTTGTAAAATGAGTAAACGGCATTTATCCAAATATCACCAAGTATATATCAATATGGTTTTATTTAAATTTAAAATAAATTATCTTTATTTAGTCTAGACAAAAACATTCTCCAGGTGATAAAATTGATCAGTTAAATCTTCGTTTTCGAACATGTCGAATATGTTGTCCTCAAAAAGAAACAGAGTATTTGTCTTAACCAATATTTTTTTTTAAATATATTTAACGTTGTTTTAGTGATGAACAAAGCCGTAATTGTGAATGTAGACAACCAGAACATAGACATGCAATTAGAGAACCAATATCAAGTATAAGTTGGAGTATGAAATTAAATACTCGAGAAGAAATCAATGCTGAACATGGCCAACTAAAAAATGATGCACAAGTACAAAAGCATATTTATTTTTCTGTTTCATTTTTGTTCGTGATTTAGTATGTTCGATTGGCATTAGATACACCTGTAGACACAGTTGATAAAATACTTCGTTACGCTTGGAACCTTGACGAACCTTCATTTATTGTATCGATCATTGGTAGTACAGAATATTTTAGTATGAATGATCAACTTGAAACAAATCTTATCAATGGTCTTATTGTTCTAATTCAGAAATCAGGTATATAAACTAAGTTATTCTACCGTTACAGTAGAGAATTATCATTTTTTCTAATTTAGAGGCATGGTTAATTACTAACGGATATGACACTGGTATTACTCAACTAGTTGGACAAGCAATTCAGAAATTTAAATTATCAAATTTCAACAATGAAATCACTGCTATCGGTATATGTAAATGGGGTTGTATAAGAAATGTAGAACAAGTAATAAACTCAATGAGTGACGAAGCAGAAGAGGTTTTATTTTAAAGAAAAATACTAACTAATATTATCGTTATTAATTTTCTAGATAACTTCCAATGCATCGTATAGTAATAAGAGGAACAAATTAAAAACACGTAGTCCTGGTGAATGGGATCTTGAACTAAATCATAGTCATTATCTGATGTTAGATGATGGTACTATTCGTAACTATGAAACAAAAGATTATCGAACAGACCTAGTCACTCATGTGGCAAAAATAAATAATGAACATTTGTTCGGTATGTGTATTTTCTTTTTGTTCTACTTTGTCAGATCGATCGGTCTCCGGAGATACAGACGGAACCAAAGACTCAATATTTATTGGGTTTTTTGAGCACATACTCTTGTATGAAACTAATGCAATTAAAATCTTGAGATGATTTGGTCGTGCTATATCGAGAGTCATCAAAGTAAGAGTCTCTACTATAATAAATTTCTTTCATATTTTCTATCAACATAGTCTAGACTTGATTTGTCTTTTTTTTTCAGTGAAAACTCTTTTTATATATTCACGTTTCGCCGAATAGTAAACTGAAAGAATAAAGAACGTCAATAGTTTTGCTATTCTTGAGTAGACGATGTTATAGAAAGGAGATGAATTAAACTATAAAATTGCATTATTTATGCAACTGCCTAATATTTTTTTTATAAATGGAAATTCTTTATTAAAATATCTAGTTAGTGGCTATAAACAATAAAAATAGAAGTTAAAATGAACGCTAGCTACCGCTTGTATATTTTCGCATTGTTACTTTTGAGCAGTAGTAAGGTAAACCCATATCAGTTTTTATTTTTTTAAAATAGTATATTAAAGAAAATAAAATGATTATGAATAAAACAAATTATATTCTATATATTTTCATTCCAATTTCATTTGTTGACGAAAATGATCGATCTGTTTTCGATCATATCGAGCAAACAAATTGACTATCAAAGAAAACAAATTTTATAACAATCTGGAATTTTTCGAAAGATCTTCATATAATGTTTTGTAAAAATACTGAATAATGAAGGTTTTTGCATTCGTCATAGTGTAGTCTTCATGCAACTAATGGAAAACATTCTAAACTATAGTGTAGATAAATCAAAATATTGCAAAGCTTCGTCTTAATGTTACATATTGGGTATTAAAGCATATAGAAGGTCAATGATAGTTATGTCAAAAAATAGAAAATTGAAAGAATAACAAAAAAAGGAAGTTACACAAAAAGTCATAAATGATTACCGGGGGCATAGCATTTAGACAACAATCAATGAATGAATAATAAGAAGGGAGGAGGAAAGAATGACTGTAAGACAAAACTGAAGGTAACAGAAACAACTTTCTCAAGGTCAATGAAGAATAAAGGATAATTGTGATTTATTACCATAGATGGTGTAGTGGTTTTATGTATCTGATTATTATTCAAACATTGGAAGGTTCAATTCCTTCCCTCGGCATCGTATCAAGATATACGATATCGGAAGAATAAAAATGCACATCCGACCTTGTCATTATTGCCTCGATTTCGATTTTCGTTTCCTTGTTATTTTTCTCTTTTTGTTGATTCCTATGTTCATAAACATCCGCAAAAATTCTATAAAAAAGCATAAAAAAGATGAGATGTCACGAATAAAATCAGCATTATCTCAACTATGGATTTATTGAAAATTGAACTAAACAATACACATATTTCCTACTAATGTAATAGAATTTGATAAGAAACATACAATAGATACATCATCAGTCATTTTATTCTTAGCGTAATTGATTAAATTTTGAAAGATTGTGTTCTTAAAGAAAACTTGATAAGATTCCTATACTTAATATATTAAAGTATATAAAAAAAAAAACTAATAATGATTTATTTTCTTTTTATAACAAGTACCTGCGGTTACTATTGTGATTGAAGGTGATATAAATACAATAGATAATATATATTTTGATGTACGATCCAATATTCCTGTTATTCTTATTGATGTAAGAAAATGAATTCAATATCTTGTGTCACTTTTTGATTCATATAATACAATAAATAGGGCACCGGTCGTGCTGCTGATTTTTTTACACGTTCACTATTATTAACCAAAGACTTTGACAAAAATATTGCAAATCGAGATATTATTTATGGAGTTAATGAACTTAGTATTGAAGATGATAACTTACAATGTGCAAATATGGAGGATAAACAGCACTGTTCAGATAAGTTACCTCCATTGAATATAAAGTAATGTCAATTTTCAGATTGTCTGACTTTATCTTTTTTCTCATTTCGAATTTCTATACGTAGTAAAAGTAATCGTACTGAACGTCATCTTAGTTCTAAATGTGAAAAGTAATCCTACAAGTTTTTTTTTTTCTTTCATTCATTGTCTATTCTTTTTTGAAGACTTTTGAAAAATTTCGGCCAAAATAATGCTCAATTAAAAGAAGACATAAAAGAAACTTTTTTTGAAAAGCAAGATCCGAAAAAACAAGTGAAGGACGAATATATTAAAGACTTACTTAAAAAAGTTATGTTTTGTCTTCAACCATCGATGCGTTCTCATTTAACTGTATTTAATCTAAATTCGGATACTGATTTATCATCAACAATTTTTCGAAGTATTTGTCGTTGTAAGTAAATAAATTTGGGATATATTAGTTTTTCTTATTGACAAAAATTTTTTGAAGCACGTGAAATATTAACAAAATTAAAAGAACTGGAAAGAAATGATGAAATTGAAATGAATAAACAACTGTTAAAAAAATCAAACCTTAAAGATAAAATTATTGATGAACACACAAATAATTTAAAAATTATGAAGAAGGATCAAGATGCAGAACGAACAAGATTACTTTATTTAGCAATGCAGTGGAATTCAATTGACATTGCAAGAGAATTTATTTTTCGAAATTCATTAGATAATATTTTGGTATTCATATTTTCTATTTATTTTAATATTAATTTTTTTTGTTTTAGACTAAAGAAAGATATTTTATTGAAGTTATAATAAATGATTTGCCAGATTTTGTCTATGAATTTCTTAAATTAGGCATCGAACCAAATAAAATATTCTTTTCGAAAGAATGGCAAGGATCTCGATATGCAAAATTTATTCGAGAACTTTATACTGATGAATGCATGGTATGATATTTATTTCAGAAAAGATGATTATTCGTTTATAGAAATAATATTTATTTGTTTATATAGAATAATAAGAAAACTCATTTAAAAGAATTTATTCCAGGTAAAAAGAATGACGATGATAAAAAAATCAATGATATCGCATCTCTTAATATGGTTCTTACTACTCTCATTGGTGATTATATGTATGACATTTATTTTGAAAATGAAAATAATGAAAAAAAATATCAAAAAAAAAATGGACTCATAGATGAATCAGAACAAGATAAAAACAAAGAATATTTATCAGATGAAGACAAAACAAAAAAAGATTATCAATGTATATTGCGAGATTTATTTTTATGGGCAATACTAATGAATCGTATTGATATGGCAAAAGTTCTTTTAGTTTTTATGGAAAATCGATTATGTTCAGCATTGATTGCAACAAAAATTTTAAAACAATATTATTCAATAGCAAACTATGGTGAATTAAAAAAAGGTTATGAAGAAAGTCGTAACTATTTTGAACAATATGCAATCAAATGTCTTGATAAATGTGATGATTATGATGCTGCTAAAGCATGTGAAATTATTTTACGACAAAATGAACTGTATGGATGTGTTACTTGTCTTCAAGTATGTTTGATAGTTTCTTCTCAGATTCGTTATTAACATTTGTTTAAAGGTTGCATCTGATGCAAATGATAAATTATTTCTTTCACAACCAGCTTCTGTACAAGCTATTAATAATATTTGGTATAATAAACTCCATCCAGAACAAAATAATTATCGTCATCTATTTGCTCTATTGTTTGGAATTATTTCGCTGGGTTTTTTTGCTCCTGCATTTGTTCACTACAGAGAAAGTAAAGAGGTTAGCATTGAATATTTAATATTGATACAATTTTGAACTCGTCTGAAATGCTTAGTATTAGAGAAATGACGATGAATACTTGTTCTCTTTGATAATTTTGAAAATCTAGTTAGTAGAACCATGAAGTCTGAATAAAATTGCGTCTACTTTATATTGTTAACATCCCAAAATAAAAGACTCAGAGCTTGCTATTATGTCTAGGAGGTCGACTTATTAACTCCTATTATAGTAAGCGGTAGCTATTCTGTAATTTCTAGTTTTTGTTCTAAATATTATGGTTTTAAGTCTTGTATAACTCGCCTATATCTTCGAAGAAACTAATAGTAACTGTAAGTTTGAATGAAGGCTTTTCAGCGGTTTTCCTCTTCCTCATTAGATTTCGTAGCAATTCGTTAGATTTAAAAGATTATGGAGACTTCTAGACTCTTTTGATTGTCAATAATTCGAATATTTTTTATGAGCATTCGCAAAAAAGCTAATCTTCCCTTTTTTTTCGTCTATACGATCCATGGGAAAGATAATCTTTCATAAGTTTAGTATAAATTACATAAAAGCACGATCAATCATTAAATTAAAGTTTGAATTGATCAACTCGATTGACGATAAGAAATGCACGAATAGAAGCTTCTATATATTAATCATTATGTGATCAATGTTTCTTTAGAGATTTAATACTCTGCATCGTTTGTATCAATATTATAAATCTGATAAATGGAGCGAAGGGAGAAGTAGTACTTCGAAATGAAATAGTTTCGCTGAAATAAATTTTTACAGCACATGCTTTAATTCAAATGATCGAATTAGTTGTAATCTGAGCATTTATTTGATATCTTTTGAATATAAAATTTTCCCATTATTTTTGAGAATATAATATAAACTTGTAGCAGTCTGAGTATTACACTTTGGCTCCACAGCAGTAAATTTTTGTTACTAAAAAAGGCCCTCTGAGAGAACCGAACTAATTTTGAACATTGGAAAAAGTATTTTCAGGAGTTTCGAAGCCTATGTATACAGTTGCAATTATCAGCAGCTGAAACTCCGCACATTTCGGAGGTAAATGACTAATGAAAACTTCCATGAATCAAAAAAGAAAATCTTTAGAAAATGGAAGGACAAGGAAGTCTCTCATTACGCGGGACACAATTCTTATTGGTTTATACCTAACTTCACAATATTCTCTATATATTTTTAAGTAGCCGCTTATAATTTTCTTTCCAGCAATACGCAAGTTTTAATATATTGAGTGGCTTAAAAATCTTCGAATATATGCTGACCTTTCTAAACCTGACTCTTCTATTATACTCTTTTACAAGAGTCACTATCAGATGAAATATCAAGATTTTCAATTATAAATGAAGGGAAGCTCTATGAACTAAAATCATTCGAATTTTTCCTTTGTTCTCCACTACTAAAGCTACATTTCTATCAAGTTTTCTCGACAGTGAAGAAATTCTCGATACACTGCGCTTTTTTTCTTGATGGTTAACTTTGAGACGGAGATCAGTGTAAAATAAAACTTCTTCAAACCTATCCGACTTCTTTTCTTGATTGAAATCTGATTCTACATGGAACCTTCTGCTGCACAGATTGCATTTTTACATGGAAAATAGTTAAATCTCAAATACAAATAAATATAAGTTCAGTTTTAATCAATGGTACTGTTTATTTGTATTTGTTAGACACGGAAACCAAGTCAACAAGAACTAAGAAAGTAATTGAAGTCTTAATATGATGAAAAATAAAATAAATTACCAATCATGAAAAACCTTTCATTTAGATTTCGAAATCATTGTATTAATTATGATGAGCCGGAACTAATGGAATATCCAAACATATCCCAGACAGAACGAGACCATGTATTTCTTAATTATTTACAAAAATTGAAAAAATTTCATTCTTCATTGCTTATGAAATTTTGTTATCATCTGGTACGTATATAAATATCAATAAAATGTATCAAAGAATAATAATCAATTCATTTTAGATAACTTACATTTTTTTTCTTTTACTTTTTTCATATGTTCTTCTATATAATTTCTCACCACCAAAAGCGCAAAATCCATCAATACATGGAACTGAGATATCAACAATTATTCTTGTTTCATGTATCTTATTAGAAGAAATCCATTATGTACGAAATAGATTGTAAAACGTACAAAAATGTTCTATTTACTTTTTGTTTTTGTCTCATTTCAGTTTTGCTTAAACGATAGTTTATCATTTTTTGGAAAAGTAGAGAGCTATGTTAAGAAACCTTTCAAATTACTAACAATATTTGCTATTCTTCTCTTTTACATTGGATTAATTCTACGATTCGCACATGCAAGTTCCGAAGATGATTTTATGGCAGCCAGGTTTTTATTTATTGACTTTTGTTTTATGTAACAATTAATTAATATGTTCAACTTCCTATGCAGTCGAACAATAATTAGTTTATTCGATACAAATATTCAGATAGAAATATATTTCTGCTAATGAATAACATTAGAGATAGAGAAGCTCTTACATCTTGTGTAGTATACAGTTTTAGTATTGTCTTTTTTATCCATCAATGATGTTTTGCCTTCAAACTTAAAGACATTTTTATTAGAGTTGTAATGGCTATTGATCTTGAACTTTGGTGGCTTCGTAGTCTATCATTCATTATTTTGGTGCCATTTCTTGGATCATACCTTGTATCGATTGGATTAATGGTATGAAAAGAAATGTTTTTCTTAACATCTCAATTCATTTAAGTTTATTTTGTTTTTTTTTATAGGTTAAAGATCTTGCATTTTTCATACTTATTATTCTAATTGTTATGATTGGTTATGGTGTTGCATCTCGTTCCATGGTTTCTTATCCAGTAGTAAGCAATTCTACTATAGAAGCAAATTATTCCATAGATACTAGCTTTGATGGTAGACTTATGTTGTATCAGGTTTTCTATCCTGTTTACTATTTCTTATACGGAGATTTTGATGAGGAATTAGAGAATCTTGACCGTATGTACATCTAAGGGGTTTATTACACTTTACAGATTGTTGTCAACTATTTAAAAGGTTTTCCGGATGCGCGATGGTCAATAGCCAGCCATATACTACTTGCTGTTCATTTAATTCTTCTAAATATCTTATTAACAAATTTACTCATAGCTATCTTCACGTAAGATTATATATAGTTTTAATTTTATTTTGAGAATCAATTTTTTGTTGAAGTAAGCGATTTGAACAAGTTTATACAGATGCACAAAATGTTTGGCATTCACAAAAATATGTACTTACACGTGAATATTTTGTACGTTCACCATTTTTACCACCAATAAGTCTTCTTTGTGATATTGCTACTTTATCTCGTATGTTTTACTCATGGACAATGCGAAAATATTTCGATAAATCAGTGTATCATTATGGTCGAGTATTCAGTAAGAATAAAGAATTATGAAAAATTTTTTCAATATTATTTTATTGATATTTTGTAGAAATGATTCCTACAAAGAGAGATACGATTAAAGAATGGAATTATTTTGAATATGTATTTACATCAGAATTTGCTAATGATCAAGTAAAAAGTGTATCTACTAAGTAAGATGAATAACATAAAATTTATTTTCTTAGGCAACTCGAATGAAAGGACAGGGGCGCATAAGAAGCCGATTTGGCCCATAGGATATTTTCAGTCATTTTATCGCCTATCCTATTCAGAAAAATGTGGTGATTCTTTTGGTAACAATTTCAAGTCAAGCTGTAAGGATTATAAGCTATCTTGCGGGAGAATACCTGCAAAAAAGTATTGAAGTTTCATTGGGCTCATAGTTGTCCATTATCAGCTCAAAATATACGACTTTTAGGCAATGTTTCAAGCTCAATCTATATTGGTTAGAAAGAGCGTTTAATACTGCATCGTTTCATATAAAAACTAATATTCTTTCATTAAAAATTTAATCAT